GGGGAGGGAGGGGAACGTGGAGCACAGGGTAGGGAATAGACACAGGATAGTTTGGGTGCTAGGGAGGAGGGAGATACACAAGAAGGGGGAGGGAAATGGAAGAACAAGGTGGATGGGAAAACCATTAGGCAGGTGTGCATAGACTAAGCGGGACAGAGGTAAATAATGATGTATGCACAACCTTGGAACAAGAGGGCTCTGGGATACAGGGATTGAGACATGGTTGGAATAGGCAAAAGTGGGGAAATAATGTTAAAATGCTTGGCTGTCTTTTGAATCTTGGTTTCCATGGCATACCATTATAAAATAGACACTGGAGGGGGAGAGAAAGGAATAGCCAGAAATATCACCATAGAAAGCTTCCAAGTCCATCTTCTACCTATAACTGATTGGAATACCTAAAATGAGGCTTCAACATGTCCAGTGAAGGAGGCTTCCTGCGGAGCCTCTGCATTACATAAGACCATAGGTGGAATCCTGAACTGCATCCAGAATCTTCTGAGGTCGGAAATTTCCACTTGAAAGACCAAGCAGACCCACCTGGAGCGGCTAGAAAAACAAAAGAGACTGCTTGAAAGAAAGACCTACAGGAAAAATACAAAAATATAACCATAGTCCTACTGACTACTATAAGAACAAGCAAGTTGCTCGCCCAGGAGACATCAAGGCAAGTGGTTGGGTCTCCTCAAGGCAAGTGCCCTTCTAAGACTAAAACTCAATGGGAATACACGAGAAGACATGTGCTCTGATTGGTGACCACGTTCATCACCGATAAGGGGAAGTGAGAGAAAAACAGCAATGAAGCTGCCAGCTAAGCCCCATAACGTTCAATAGAGTCTTATGAACCCGGGTGGAGACCTGATTGGCCAGCAGTATGGCAAGACCTGGGGACTTTTGGGCCCAGAGTCAGTGACATTGCCACAGAGGACGAGAGTGGAGAGTGAAGCATCCACCTGATAAGAAGAGAGGGCATATGCACAAGAACACCCACACTTGAAGATAATAATTGATCAGAGCTCAATTAGAAGAAGAAAGAAGAGTAACAAAAGAGTAATCTGATACAATTTGATGAACTTGACCCACACCTATGGATGCAGTAGCTCAAAAGAGGGAACAAATCTTTACAGTGAGGATCATTCCCTTCAATACACAAGGTAGACAGGGATAGGCAGCTTGGTCATTGGCTACCCAAAATGAGGGGGCTACAAAGGCAAGAAGTGACTGGCTTACAAGCTTGCAAGAGGGAACCTAGATCCAGAGGGCATGGAGAAACGTAGAATCTCCACTGAGTAGTATCCAATCTGTCTAGGTGGGGCTGATGAATGGAGATGGGGATAGGACTCTTGTGGTACAATAGTGAATAATTGTTATCAGGACTGACTGTGAGGGTTGGAAATGTAAAGGTAGATGTTTTGTAGCAAAAGGAGGGGAGTGATTGACTTTGCAGTCCATCAAGGGAGAAGAGTGGAGTTTGGGACCCTGCCCAGATAAACAGTAACGCCAGAGATGGAGGCAGAGATGATGATGTGGAGAGATGTTGCGACTTGGAACTCTAGACCCAGAGAGGGAGATGGGCTCTGTGCTTAGGGGCTGTGTGCTGACGATCGGAGGGCAGGCTTGCAGGGTATACCCTTTGGTTGGTTGATGATGCATGGAGGGGATTGTAACCATGGCAATGAACAATATATGATAGGATGAATGTGAAGCTAATGTTCTCCCATGTAAACTATTACACGATTCACAATAAAACATTAAAAAAAAAAAAAAAAAGACTATATGAAGTTAGGGAATTTTTAAGAATGACTTAGGTGTCTAATCCTTTCCTAGAAGCAAGCAGGACTTTGAGAGAGCTCGTTCAGAGTTTTGCTGAGCCCAAGGAAGGAAGCAAAATGACCAAGACAAGGGAGGGGGCAATCTTAGACTGGGTGGCACTTCAGGGACCCTGGGTAGCCAGAAGAAAATCTAAAGTTTTTCATGTCTAAGGAAGATGAAAATGGACCCACTGTATCAAGCAAAGTGTAAAATAGTGACTTCATCTACTTAGTAAGTTTGCTATACCTAGCATCATCTAGATTATTTCTTCTATTGTTTTTTCAGCCCCTAATTTAAAGAACATTTGTTAGAATCAGTTGCTGTTGTTGTTAAGTGCCAGCGAGTCGTCTCCAACTCATAGGGATCCAGTATAGGGTTTCCAAGGCTTTACATTTTGAAGTAAGCAGAAAGCCTTGTCTTTCTCCTGCATGGGACCAGATAAGCACTAATATTTACTGACCATGCATATCAAGCTAGTCAGGCTAGACACACGGTGCTAAGTCACTGGCTATAAAAATATTTGCCATGCTCTGTCTCTATGATACTTCCAGTCTTCTTTTTACTAATTAAAAAAAGAAAAATAGGTATCACAGGGTGAAGAAGACTATGTAAACAGTAGTAATAAGACTTTTTGTTAGCAACTCTGTGCACAACAGAAAAAAACACTGTCTTGTACTTCACTATAATGAGACAGTTTTTGTTGTGCCATCAAGTCGATTCTGACTCATAGTGACCCTGTAGGATTTCCAAGGAGCAACTGGTGGGTTTGAACCATCAATCTGGTAGTTCAAAGCCCAGTGCTGATCCTACAGCACCACACTAGAAGTCTAGTGTTGTTGTTGTTGTTAACGTGCCATTGGTTGGTTCCAGCCAATAGAGACCCTGCATAGGGTTTGCGAGGAGCAACTGGTGAGCTTGAACCACCGACCTTGCAGTTCAAACCAACTTCGCAGTTTTGTTTTAGTGTCAGTTGACCAAGTGACATATAGGACAGTATGTGTTTTTGGTAGGTGTTGTCAAGTTGGTTCCAACTCATAATGACCTTATTATGCACAGCAGAATGAAAACAGTGCCCAGTCCTGCACCATCCTCATTGTCTGTCGTCTTGAAGCTGAGCACATTGCTGCTGTCACTATGCCAGTCTTTCTGATTGTGGTTCTTCCTCGTTTTCACTGACCTTCCACTTTACTTAGCATGATGTCCTTCCCAGGGACTGATCCTTCCTGATAATACGTCTGAAGTCTGAGAGATGAAGTCTCACCATTCCTGCTTCTAAGAAGCATTCTAACTGTACTTCTTCCATCACAGATTTGTTGTTTCTTCTAGCAGTCCATGGTACTTGTAATAGTTTTCTTCAACATCCTAACTCAGGTGTATCAAGTCTTTTAGGATCTTCCTTATTCTTTGTGCAACTTTCACATGCATATAAGGCAACTGGAAATACCATGGCCTGGGTCAGGCACGCTTTTGTCCTCTTGAACACTTTAAAGAGATCTTGTGCATCAGGTTTGCCTAATTCAGTATATTATTTGATTTCTTGACTGCTGCTTCCAGCATAGGGGGTTCAAGCAAAATGAAGTCTTTGACAACTTCAATGTTTTCTTCATTTTTTATTGTATTATTTATTGGTCCAGTGGTGAGGATTTTGTTTTACATGCAGGTGCAACCCATACTGAAGGTTGTGATCTCTGATCTTCGTCAGTATTTTAGTCCTCTTTGATTTCAGCAGTCAGGTTTTGTCATCTGCATGTCACAGGTTGTTGATGAGTCTTTCTCCCCTCCTGATGCCACATTCTTCTTCATATAATCCAGCTTCTCTGATTATCTGCTCAGAGTACAGATTGAAGGAATAACTGTGGTGAAAAAATATAACCCTGGCGCATGTCTTTTCTAATGTTGCTGTTGTAGTTAAGTGCTGTCAGGTCAGTTCCGACTCATGGCAACCCAGTTTAGGGTTTCAAAGAACAGCTGGTGAGTTTGAATCACCACCTTGCAGATCAAACCCACCTTGCAGCCCTGTGCTTATCCTACAGTGCCACACTAAAACTCCAGTAATTGTGAACAAATCATATAATCTACTATTGTTATTGTTAAATGCCATCGAGTTGGTTCCTACTCACAGCAACCCTGAGTAGGATTTTTGAAGGACAGTTTATGGGTTGAAACCGCCAACTTTGTGGTTTGTTGTCCAATGCTGATCCTACAGCATCACATATAAAATGACTATATGTAGTGCATACAAAAATCTGTTGCTGTTAAGTGCTGTTGAGTTTGTTCCAACTCATAGCAACTCTGTTTCTGAGGCTGTAAGTCTTAGTGGAAGCAGAAACTCTCATCTTTCTCTCATGGAGTGGTTAGTGGTCTCAAACTGCTGACCTTGTAGTTCAGAGTCCAGTGATTATCCCACACAGCCACCATACTCCCACAATGACTCTTGTTGTTAAGTGCTATCAAGTCAGTTTCCGCTCTTAGTGACCGTGTATAGTGTTTCCGAAGAGCTGCTGGTGGGGGTGAACTGCTGACCTGCTGGGTTGTAGTCCTGTACTAATCCTACACAGTGATACCAGATTACGGACTCTAGCTGAGATTGAGAAATCTGTCTATGTAGGTGAAGTTGGGTGAGGTAGTTTTTCTTTTATTATTGCAGAATGTCGAGAATGATGCCAGGACTATTCAGGTTAGCAGCAGATCACAAAAGGAAAACAAATTTGTTTTGCATATGTTTGATAAAAATATGTATGGGGTTGGCAAACTACAGTCATTCAGTTGAACAAACATTTGCTAATAACACTATTTGTGATAAGAACTGTGGAAGCATGGTGGAAGTGCTTTTGCTTTGGAAGAAAGAATTGTAGTCGCAGATAAGTAGCAAACTGTAAAGACTACTTCCTTTGCTTTGGACTAGGAGGACAGAGGTATAAATTGATGGCCTTATGTGCATGAGTGGCCCTTGCTGTATCAGGTGCTGACAGACACATGTCTGTTAGGAATGTAGGCATATAAAAGCGTTCCTTCAAATAACTGCATGGGAAAGAGTAGGTAGTGAGTACAGAAATAATAAAACCTGGCATCTTAACAAGTCCACGCTGTAGGTCTTGAGATACTAAAATAGGAGCTTGCTGGGAAAGTAAAGACTTATATTTGATAAGAAAGCTTCAATAATTTTCTTCTCTGTTTCAATTTTATAGCAGACATCAACTTGGATATATCAAAACCTTTGAAAGCAAACCTGAGCTTTACCAAACTGGATCAGATAAACCAATTTTTAAAGAAGATTAAAAATGTCCACTGTTTTGCACCCAGCAAAAACACTTCAGCCCTTTCAGACACGATGCTGAGTAAGGATGAACTTCCAGCCACCAAATGTTACCATGGGCACTTGTCTAAGCCTGAAGTTCACAGTGATGGAGCACAGAAGATTCCTGTTCAGGAAAACGTGTGGAGAACTGTTTCTGGCTTTCAGAAGGTTTCTATCAGTACTACTCAGATTGTGGTCTCCATGGAAACAGTCCCTCATCCTAGTAAACCATGCCTGTTAGCCTCTTTATCAAACCTCAGTGGAAACCTTAGTGTCAAAGCAGCGCAAAAAGTACCTGGTAAGTTATGTTTGAGATCATTTTGTAGCACATTCTTTGAGCTTAGGTATTTCCATGTCCTAAACAAAATTGTTCCTGCAGATGTCTTTCAAACTTTGTATTTCTTTATTTCTTTTTACCTAAATGTCTGCTGCTTGTTGTTTCATACCATCCAGTTAGTTCCCATTCACAGTGACCCTGTTTAGGGTTTCCTAGGAGCAGCTGGTGGGTTTGAACCACTGACTGTGTGGTTAGCAACCCAATGCCTGCGGTCCACACTGGGGTTCCATGATCTGTAGTGGGACACTAATTTTTTCTGCTTTGTGAGCCATTGGAACAGTGACTCTCCACCTGTGGTCTCTGGTCCAACAGCATCAGCATCCTCTGGGAACTTGTCAGAAATGCAAATTCTCAGACCCCACCCCGGACCTACTGAATCAGAAATTCTGGGCACAGAGCCCAGCGGTCTGCATTTCAACAAGCCCTGCAGGTGATTCTGATGTGCGGCGCTCCAGTCACTGGTAACAATTTATTGAAGAAAGAAACCTAGGTTCCATTGAGGATAATCAAACAGCAGCACCTGGCCAGGGATGGCTGCTGCCCTGGAGCCCCGGCTTGGCTTCCGTTCTTAGCCTAGCAGAGGTGTGACCCTGCCGACTGAATGCCATTGCTGGGTGAGAGGTGAGAATTTAACTCACAGTGACATCTACATTTTCCTCTTCTGTTTCCAAGATTAAGTGGTGTGCGTTTTTCACACTGAATTAAAAAGGGTGGGCAGAGGAATGCGAGGAGGGGAAGTGTAAAGGCCAGGAACAGGTGGGAAATCACATTTTCAATCACAGAAACTGCTACTGTAAAAGTTTAGGGCACAATGCCAGAAATTTTACTATGAAAGTAAAAACAGCAAAAAGGAAGCATTTTTTACCCCACTTTAATAAATGCAGGGAAGAATTGGGGCTAGGGGCTAGTACAGAGGGGATCAAGGAAATCCTTGTGCTACATGCAGTTTAGTTGCTTATCGAAAAGTCAGTCAGTGGCAGCTGGAGACTCACTGCATCCTAGTTCCATAGAGCCTGTTTAGGCTCAGCACTTTAAGTGATAGAGAAAAGGGTTTATAATTGAGAAGTAGAATTTTAGGCCAAAGTAGTAGGTGATTTAGTTCCTTCTCATCCGAAGTATTTTGCTGAAAGCACTGTTTTGTTTTTTAATGTCTTAAAAGTTAGAAATGAGCAATGTAAAGTTCATAGGACATGAACAACTATGAAACAGTGGAGGCTACAGTTGCTGATTTTTCCACAAATAAATTGCAACCCAGATAACACTGGGTCCGTTCCCACGCCTTTTCAGTTGTACCTAGTCATGGCAGGACAAAGTTAGGATTCAACAGAGTTCAAGATCTCTAATGTACTGTCCTCAGAATTCTAGCTCTCTTTATCTTTTTCATCTTTATTTCTTTTTTAATTAGTCTATCCACTTTTAATACAGTCTGTCTTGGTAAATGTCCCTACAGTAAATTAAAACCCTTCTTTCACTGAGCTGCACCAGGAAAAATACACTCCTTTCATAATTATGTTCTTATATCCAGTTAAACACATAAATGGGAGCTATAGCTTTGACTATATGCTTTATGCTTTATTATTCTACGCTGATGTGTACTGTCCAGCAGACATTCTAAAATAGTTGTATCAACAAATCAAATCAAAATGGAAGTTGGGTTTTAATAGTAAGATATTATTATGAGGTCATAATGAAAACCAAATCATTTTTTTCCTCCACATTTCAGTTTTTTTGTAATGGCATGCTTATTCAACATTTTAAGGTAATAAAATCAACAAAATTATAATTTAAATTATTTAAGTTGTTATTAATTAATAATAAGATTGTATTGTTTCTAGTTAATGCTGAAAGCTGATTTCTGGGTAAATTGTCACAAGAGATTAGCATGTATTTCAAAATTTAATTTTTAAAACAAAACAAAAAAATACAATTTAAGCTTCAAGCAGTAAGTTAACTATATCTTTAAAATGTATTATTATTGTTGTTTTGTTGTTGTTAAGTGCCATTGAGTCAGTTCTGACCCATAGAATATGATATGTGCAAAATACATATTCAAAGTGTATTTTTTGATAAGTGGTAAAAAGTATCCCCAGACCACCACCACCCCCAAAAATCCTGTGAGTAGTCGTATTTCGTTTTGTAATTTTCAAGTGACATCGTTCTGTATGTAACCCAAATTTTTTATAGCATATCTTTGAGCTTGACAGAGTTAATGTCAGGTTTTTACAGTTTGAATCTATTACAGAATACTTCACTGTGTCTTTGATTTTACAGTTTATATAACTATTGTGACCATCTGCAGCAGCTGCACTTTTCAAATTATTTGCTGAACCAAATTGAGCACGGTGACAAAAGTAGTCATCTCAGATGTGCTATTAAACAGAGAAAGAAAAAGGAGCATTGCTTGGGTACAGTATAGCCATCTGCTGTACAGATGTTATTGTATAGAGTGACTTAAGATAAAATAATGGTAGAAATTTTTCATTAAAACCTCAACAATTTTCACTTGTTTATGCGAATCTGCATAACTCCCCAATGAGACAACACACTTGGGGTTTCTTTGGTTCTCACTCACTTTCTCTTTGATCCTTTTTGATGTGCTGGCTTTAATAAACACAGTCAAAAACACTGTGCAAAACCATCATGGAAAAAACTACAAAGGAACAATTATAGCAGCAGAAACGACTCTAATCCCTAACTTACGCAAGCTATTTTTAGTGAATTTTTTTTTTTTTTTACACTCTTTATGTGACAATGTTATATAAACAGGGTAAAACGGTCCTTTCCAGATGAGCTTTAATTTGAAAGCTGAAATAAATTGGTAATGCTGGAGGAATCTTATGTGCTAAGTAACATTTAGAGAAACACAATTGGGAATGTGTCTTAGGGAGGTTTCTTCAGTTATAAACTGTACACAACTATGTTGATTTTGCCTAATGGTTTTATTTTTATCACTTACGCTGGCATAAGCGTGTGGGAGGTGTATGGGAAAGGAGAACAATAAAAAGGTGAAAGGGGAAAGTTTATTCTCCTCTCAAGACATTATCAGCAAATCTAAACAATTTAAATGCTTCCATATTCATTGACTAATTTTAAAAAAACCTAAATATTTACAAATTATTCACTAAAGTAGTTAGAGGAATTTTTGTTTTCATCAAAATGAAATGGTTAAATATTTTTCGCTTTACTTCTACAAAAATTTTTTTTTTAGCCTTCTATGTCTGTTACACTAACTATGAGAATTTCGAGGGAGTTGATTTGCTTTTTTTAAGTTCCACTCTGCAGATTCTAATGTGTACTGACTTACAATAATTTAACTTATATTTCTGCTATTATAATTACATTTTCCCATGTGTCTTTGGCAAAATTTCCCTAACGTTCTGATTTTAGTAGATGTAATGCTTGTATTTCTCAAGTTGTTGTATGAAACAATCCTTTGGGTTATCAGTAACTACATGAATCGCATTGAGAAGTTTTATTTTATGAAATAGTTTAAGGTAGATAATAGTTCTTTTGCTGTGCATTAAAGCCAGCCCCAGCCTATAGCATGTTCTTTTAAAAAAGATGCACACTCAGACATCTTTTTTTGCCATTTGCAGGATGGTGTTTTGGAGAACCCCTTAACTATAAATTCTGAGCACTATCTACAGGCAGGGTGGGAGTGAGCTGCAGACTTTAGCTCCCCTTGTCAGAGTAAATTACAGCTCTATTAGGGCGGCCTCTTCAGGTTTCGGCAAACAACGGTACACAATTCAGAACTGTGAACTAACTGTACTTGAGGCTACCTTGCTCTTTCAAGGTAGTGTTTTAGATTGGCAATCTCCATGTCGATAAGGAAAGGAAAATATGATCGGAACAAGTTAAGTGGCATAAGGGGCTTAGGAACATGCCTTACTGAGGCCATCTTGGCAGACATTTTGGTCAGAACTGGGAAAACGTTGGAAGGATCATCCATCAGGACGAAGGGAATTTTTCATCCAGGCTGAAAGTTGTGAGTTGAACTCCTAGTCTAAGAACAGTGCTTTAAATAACTTTCACTACCTCAGCCTCTGTCATCCAGATGTACTTATCTTTGTATATAAACAAAACAAAACAAAATTAAAAAGTGGAATGAAAAAAAAGCATTACCACATTAATTTTTCACATGTACAAATGCCTATTCTCATGGTCACTGAATTCAGGACCAAGAAAACCTAAAGACCCTTAAGTTCTGAAAATGTACTGAAAAATGAAACCAGATCATTAATTGATACAAAGTAGAGCTACAGCTTTTCATTCCAGAGTTAACACAACTCCTGAGGAAAAGTCTTTAAGGCACTGTCATAGCCTTTGGATGCTATTTGATGTGCTGGCTTTAATAATAACACAGAGCCGTGTTAGCCTAATGGGAACTAAAGCACTCAATTAGATGTGATTACCTAAAATAAGAGGTAGCAATAGCGAGCCATGTACAACACCCGAAGACTTTTGTTACTTTTAGAAAGAAAGAGCATCTCTTTCCAATGCCTAAACCGTAGGAAATGAATTCTTCAACAGTAAAAGCCAGGGGACAAACCTAACTTTTAAGCAGCCACTGAGGATTGAAAGGGAAGTGCAGTTTGTAGACAGTCATACAAATCACTAACAAATCTTAATGAATATTGGGTGTAGGCTTCAGGGTCCTGTCATTTTTACACTGTGTCCCAAGCAGCTTAAACCCAACACTCAAGGAAAGGTGGGGACCTCATTGGGTCTGTAACATCTGGGATTTTATTTGTCATTTTGGCGTACCCAGCAAGCGCAAAAGAAAGAGTAAAGGGGGATTATGTTGACAATGAAATGAGTTACTGAATCTTGTGATAATGAAAAGCAGAAGAGTACTAATGCCTTTCTATAGTCCCTAAGGTGGAGGTGCGTTTATAGTTTTGCTGAAGTAAAATGTAGGCGGGCAGAGCAGATGGCCTGGAGTCCATGAAACCTGACAC